CACCCTCCTCTTGCCCGCTCCCCCCTCACAAGGCCCGCCAAGCTGTCTGTGGCCAGCCTGCTGCGTGACCTTGAAATAACTAATGATGTGCTCCACGCTCCGGTCGGCCTGCAGGGGTGGGGCTCCCACCGGGCCCGCCGGGGCGAGGCGAGCAGGGTTAAGGGCCCCCCGGGGAGAGAACAAGCCGGCCCAGGGACGCCCCGGGCCTCGCCCAGGGCCCAGGTGGCCAGCCAGATTGGCGGGACGTGGCCGGCCTGCTTAGTCTAATGCGAAAACCAAAGAAATCGCCGCAAGAAAGACAATTCTAATTTCTGTTAGGTAACCAATTTGTGTTTTTAACGAGCATGCCCGCCCTTCTTCCGCTTGGCTGCGCTTGAAGCAGGGGCCGCGGAGTCGCTCTGAAAAAAGTAATACATTTGCGGTCCTAATGATATGTTGGTCATAACGACATACACTCAGCACTATACGTTTAGTCCCCAGATCGAAGTTTTTTCGTTGCACTATACGTCTAGCACTGAAACTCAATGGCAGGGCACTATCTCATTTGGAGCTGGGACAAAAGTCGGGAGCATTAAACGTACGTTTAGTGCCCAGAAAGAAATATTTTTCTCAGTGTATGTTACTGACTCGACTCAAGAACATTTTGTTGAGCCAGCTATCGCGTCGTTGGGGCCAGGGTGTTGCCTCTCACGGTTAGCAACAGAATATCCTTCGCGTCGACCGCCCGACCCAATGAGAGCTGTGAAATTTCTGTGAAGGTTGTTACATACCCACACCTGTCGTTAGCACGTGCTTGCATACGGTTTTACTTCGAAGGAATGCCTCTCGATCTGTAAAACGTCAAAAGTGCGCTTGGAGGTCGTGGCTCCCCGCGTATAGCGCCTGTGAGAGTGAGCATGGGCCACCCGGCGAGCACGCGCGCCTGCGGGTGGCCTATGCTGCTCCGCTGCGCGCCGCACAGCCTCCCTCCCCTCCGCCGCCTCCCGCCTCCCGCCTCCCGCTGCTGCCGCGCTGCGTGATGCGACGACAGGCGTGCGTGCGTGGCCCTGGTGTCGGTGCGCACGCCATACCGACCCCCGGCTACCTGTTGCTGGGTAGCACGCCGCCCCGCCCCGCCACGCCCCGCCCCGCCACGCCTCCTTGCACCTCTTTTGTCGTGCTCGGGAGGCAAGGCACTACAGCCATGAAATAAATTTCCCCCGCTCTCAGCGCGGAGCCTCCAACAAAGCGGTCTCGCTGTGCTGAAGCACCACCACCACCGCCCCATCCTTTCCCCCCCAACTCCACTCCACCACAGGGACCGAGCCCCATCTCTGCGGTACCACATCTGTGCTGGATGGGGCGGGGCGGGGCGGGACACAGTCAGCCAGCTAACGACTGCAGCCCGCATTCAAAACGACTACTTACTCGACTTTCTTCGCCGCTTACCCCACGGCCCCGGCCCCGGCCCGCTTGCTCGGCGCGGCGTGGCTAGTGAACAGGACGCCTTGGTTCGCCAGCTGTATATTTGGTCTTTGTTTGTTGCCGAAACCCAACTTTAGCGTGGCGTTGTGCTGCGGCCAACATCGGCAAAATGGGCAGAACCTATAACGGGACCGCAATTTTGGCAGCCTCCGGCGCCGTGAGCGCGGTTGCCTCCTCCCCCTCCTCTCCAGTCGTCCTCCAACCCCTCCTCTCTGCCCCCGTCACCCACCCCACACACTGGCGGCGTATTTCAATCCCTCACTGTTTGCATCTCCCTCTTATTTCCCTGCTCCTGTATTTTCTCCTCCAATACGACCTCTTTGCCCTTTTCAACTAGCAGCACGGGTTTCTTCATTTTTATTCTCCGGCCCCCCCCCCCTCTTTTTTCTTCTTTGCCTTCCATTTTCCCCCTCTTTTGCCTTCGCCCTCTCTTGCGCCTGCTAGTACGCTGTCCGCCATAAGCTTTGGCTTGGGTGCTCGACGAAAACTCATCAACGTAAACAAAGAAGGACTCGCACAAGGGTACCTTTCACATGCACATGCGCAAGCGCACACACATGTACACACACATACTTGTGTGGCTTGTGGACTGTCGCCAACCATAGTACCCCCATTAGCAAGTCCACAAGTTTTGAACTCTGTGCCTTATCAATGCCATAAGTCGTGTTGGCTACACGGGTGGCCGACCGGGCGGCGCTTCAACTAAGCGAAACGAAACAAAACAAGCGCCCTGAGGCGTGCACTGTTTCTGTTGACCCAGAGCACCAACTTTACTGCGCAAAGATAAGAGAAACCGAAACCACGCATGCAAACGTGCTCATGTTAAGTTTTTATTTTTCTGTTCCCTCACTGCGAAAAGGTTTTGTTTCTGAACGAAGATTAGTTGATTGATTTATCCAACTTTCAGTACTCTGATTTAATACAAAAATTGCAATTGCGTCTTTCTTGAAACAAGAATTCTCAAACATTCCACGAATGTGAGCGATCTAATGAATTACAGATATTTTACATTTTGCTATCATGTTCCTTTATCTCGGGTATCTGTTGAAATTCATCATGATCGGAAGACCTATTGCGGAGCGAAAGGTAGCTTACAGTGCCCTTAAAAAGGCACTCAAAGAGAAACTTGGAGTTATATTAATTTGTTACCTTGGGCTAATTTTAACGCCTTTTCAGGAAGCTGAATCAAGTCTGAAAGTCATGAGCATCCCTGCACCGTTGGAAAAAGGTGCCAAGTTTTACGTTTGTTTTACCAGTGCCAGCAGGGCCTCAGGAAGGAGTGCGCCCGGATCTGCGGCGGACAGGCCCTGCCCCCCCCCTCCCCTCGCCCGCGTCCCTCTCCCCGCCCAGCTTCTACCTTCTCCGTCGCACTCAAACTCCTTATACTTTCTTTGGGAGAAGGCGAGGTGGTGCTTCCCTTGCTTACGTGCCTCGCATCTCAGGCTGCGGCGGGCTGCCGCCGGGCCCACCCGACACCGCCGTGTCACATCTCCCCGCCCTCTTTCCTCTTCTATCCC